CCTCCTGTCAGCCAGGAGACTGCTGTCTGTCCACAGAGCTGTTCTTTATAATATAAGTGCTTTTGATACCTTGAGCCACCGTTTGAGCTTGTAACATTAAGCTTTTCTGTCCTTTATGTCCAGTAGGTTATATATTTTGAGCTGGGATATACAATCCCATACTCATTAATTCACAAAAATTTTATGTGACAGTATGTGCTAGTTATTTGTTAATTTAATATTTAGAAGCAATTTAGTGTGCTAGGTGGCTAAAAAGTAAATAGAAGCTTTGATCAGTTTCAAAACATTCTGTTGTCCCAGATAAGGAGCCAATAGCACTAGAAGAGCATGGCCATAGTGATAGCCATTGTGGGGGCAGTGCCTCCACTGTCATCAGGCTAGAAGAAAAGCCAACTCAGTACGCCCTTGAAATGCCCCTGTCCAGTCAGAGCAGTGAGATGCAGCCCAGGAGGTAGGCAGGGAGTAAGGCAGATAGGACCCACAGCGGGCCAGCTAGACTGGCCCACAAGCATTTCTCCAGGACTGTACCCTGCTTAACGGGAAGCCATGGTAGAAATTACGACTGAGTAGGCTTAGGATGTGAAGACATTGTCAGGATCTCAGCAGTGTGAGGCTGAGTTTTGTCATTTGAGGTGTTCAGGGGCTATGTGGATAGTCATTGTGAGGAGTACAGGGCACAGTCAGGCAGATAACTGAATCCAAGTTATGTTTAAGGTCCCCACTCAGTTCTTAGCATGTGATTATATGAGACATTTTTAGATAGTAAATTCAGTTAAAACACTACATTCATTTCCTGTGGTAAATGAACACAGTGATTTAAGTGAGTCTAGATTTGGTTTTATACTTTTTAAAAAATTGGGCAATAGTGTAGTGCAGGAGAGAAAATTCACTATATGCAATATCTCTAAGAGGTTTTCATGCTAAAAATAGAAGACTAGAGTTAATTGTCCTAGGATTCCTTTCTCTTTGCTTCATTCCTTTTTTAAATTAAACTTTGTAGTAAATTTGAAGAGTAGGTTTCTCTTTTAATATTAGCATTAGTTTTTAACTTTTGACTAAAACAAGTACAGACTTTAGGCATTGGAGCAACCAAGTCTCCTCTCAGGCCAAAATGACTTGATTTTTATGTTTTCTTTGAAAATCTTTTATGGAAGAGGTCATATACTCACATCCAAAGACATCTCCACTCAGGTTCATGAAATGGTCCACTCTGAAAAGAATAAATAAAAAAGCAAGCAAGCAAAACACACTTCTCATGTTTGACTATATCACTGTAGACTGTTTGGAAAATAATGGCAAGAGAAAATCTTTAAAACAACCAGAGTTTAGAATGGCCCATTGCTCTCTTAGGAGCCTCGTATCTGCCCAGCCCATGATCTCTGTGTGCACACTTTCTGGACAAGGCATCTCCAGGAATTCCTGCATCACTGCTTATGCACAGTGCCAGCTTTGTTGACTTTTGCCCTTCAGTTCTTTTTTTGTATAGTTTGCACTCCCACCAGTGAAATACAAAATATACCCTTGCATAATCACCTTTTCTGCAACCACTTTTCTCCACAGTTGTACTTCAAAAGGTCTACGAAATTGAGGACAGCAGCGTCTTCCCACTCCAAAAAACTTTTACCCCACAATATGTTCAGTAAGTAAACTGTATGGAGTCATATTGTGGCATTATAGTTTCAAAAAAGGGACACACATAAATATCTTTATGTAACATTTCCACCAGAAAACATGGAAGGAGTGTGCATTTTTGTACACTGTTTACAATAGCAAACAGATTTGCTGTGCATTTGTACGTTTGTGAGAGGCCAGAGGGATGGCACCTTCACAACAATGTGTTGGTTATGAGTCTATTCCCATGTGTTTTGAAGTGTTTGCATGCTTACCTATCATTTGTCCTAATGGTGGTACCTTGCTATGCTCTAACTCTGTATGTGCATTTAGAGTATAAAATAACCATGGCCTTGAAAAAGATTTATAAATCGGTGGTGAAAGCAACATAGAAATAAGAGTTCACACTTCTCTCCACTTAGCACCCTGAGGAGTCCCTTCATGTGCAAACTTGCTTTTTTCATTTGAATTATTTATTATTCTTTATCAGCTTATTTTTCAGTGCTCAATTGGTATATTTTTCTCCCTGTGAAAGTCATTAATCATTGGTTGGGATTTGAATACATCCTAATCCTTCTTTTAAAACTAGTGGGTACATTTTTGCCTCGTAGCAGGCAGGTGCTTGGGACCAATCCTAGTCCACTGCCTGGTAGAAGTGAAGAGTCCTGCTCCTTCTGAACAGTTACAGGGTGGTGCCAGACTGTTCACTTGAGGCAGCCTGCGGGTGTGTAGCTCTATTTTTGGCTTTAATTTGCATGTCTTTAATTACTAATGGGGGCTGAACACCTTTTTGTGTGCCTATTTGCCATTTGGATATCCTCTTGTGAAGGACTTTGAGAAAACACTGAGAACTGTTTATCTATTTTCTATTTGTGTCCATGGCATCTATAAAGGAGAGCAAGTGGCTGGCCTCAGATGTTTCCACTGCAGTTTTCTTGCTAGAAAAAAAGTGTATCAAAGTATACAAAATTTGTAGAGAAAAAAAAGAATTTTCTCAATAATACTTTTCAAATACAGAAGACTTTGGGAAAGTGATTTTCATGAGATTTGTTGAAGATGAGGATTGGAGGAGGGGAGATCACAGTAAAATTGGCACTGAGCTAAATGCAATGCCTGGGGCAGTGGGGGTCAGGGTTGAGGACAGGCTCTGCACTGCAAGGCCTCACAAGGCATACCAGAGGAGAAATGGCAGAGGTACAGGTGCAGAGGGGGCCAGTTAGCTAGTGACAAGAGCCTAGGGACGTCATTTAGAGATTACCTGTAGAAGAATCCAGCTTAGCTGTGTGACCTAGCAACTAAGTAGCAGAGAGTGTGAATGTGAGTCATCAGCCAGCCTCATGGGCAGAGGCCGTGGCGGGGCATCCACACATGGCATGCATGCCCAGAAAACATAACAAAGACTTAGACTCCTTCAAAAATTATACAGCTTTAAAACATTAAATGATAGGGTAACACTTTTTGTTTCTTGACTTGTCAAAGATTAAAATGTCTGAGAGTGACTAGTGCCAGCCGGTTGTGAGGAGTGGTGCTCAGCAACTTTGGTGGAGGTGCAATTTGCAGACCTATGTGGAGAGGCTTCTGGGTGACACCTCTGGAATTAAAAATGCAGAGTATTTCACTTCTTGTGCCAAGGTAGCTCTGAATGTGCTGATTCAAAGTAATCTAAGATTCATTGATTGTAAAGGGTAATACACCAGGTGTAGGATGAGCCCAAGCACTTCACCCCACATGCTAGAAAATTTCTGGCTAACAGTGATAGTGAGCTCTGCCGTAGTAGAGTGAGTCTTTTTTCCATTGTCTGTTTACTTTTACTCTTTAAATAATACCACTTTGGAGGGGAATAAGAAAGGAAAGAAGGGAAAAGTAAAAAAAAATGAGAAAAGAAGGAAAACATGGGAAAACAGCTTTGTAAATGGGGAGGGAAGGAAGGGTTGAAGGGGAGGGTAGGGGAATGGGGGAAAAAAACAAGTTATATCGTGTATAGATACAAATTATCTATGATGAATGTGATTGTTATGTATATCCAAAATGTACTAATAAAATCTAATGTAAAAAATAAATACCTATCATTTTGAAGGTTTATGACAATCACCTAAGAAGTAAAGAATTTTAATAGTTGTTAGTAAAAGAACTTACATGTATTGCTGCATTCATTGCTCCTAATAGTGTATTAATGTTACTTAGTAATTGAGAAACCTAAAATGTAAAGTGAAGTAATTTGCCCAACTTGGGAGTCCAGGCAGAGCAGAGAATCTTCTGGGGTCAGTACTGCTCCTATACAAGAGGAACAATAATAGTCACTAAGGTGCTATAAATAGCACCACATCCTAAATTTGTCCTCACTCTCTGAAGGAATTACTAGAAACCATCTCCCATGTCCCTCCACAAGGGTCTGTGGTACCAAGAGGTGCATACCTGCTAGGGTAGGAAGGATCTGTGCTGGGGTGCTAGGACACCCACTGCCACTCTCCCAGTAATGTTTACCTCTGTATGCTTTTCCTCTCCAAGCCTGCTCCTCTTCCATAAAAATCACAACAATAGTGCCTGCTTCTTAATGTAGTAGAAATTAGGTAGTTTAATAAACATGAAAGCCCTTGAAGTAATAAAGTGCTTAAAAATTGTTAGCTTTCCTCCTTTTAAGATTGTGCCTGCTTCTACAATCCAGCATCTGTCTCTAGAATGACTATCTTATGTTTCTTTTGAATCTTTGGAAGCATTTCCTTTTGTCTGAATCTTATCAGGAGTCCCCAGAATACCAGGCATCCCCATTGGCTGGTCGCTGGCCACATGTTACTGTGCACACAGTAGTGGTAGCATTCTAGGTGTCCATGAAGTGGGGCTTTTCTCCTTTGTCTGCTTCAGTAACAGACACTGGACTTTGCGTAGGGTCCACAATACACCTGGGCACCTGTGACCTGTTTCACAGATGTGTTGCTTAACTTGAGAGACTAGAGGGAAAGACTGTTCTGATAGTGGAGATCAGAATCCTGGCCAAACAGAGCAGGCTTTGAGGTGCAGCTCAAGTAATATTTGCTGCAAATAAAAGACCAGGGCAAGGGCAGCTCAAGTAATATTTGCTGCAAATAAAGGACCAGCGATAGAAGGAAGCACTCACAGGGTAGTAATGGGGGACTAGCATCAGGAGTAGACAGCAGGAGGTCATATTAGTGTGTACAGCTTCTCTTCTGAGATACTCAGTAACATGTATACAGTGTCTGACAATTGCTGATTGATGTGGTACCAAACTTCAAGTAACAAGGTTTCCTATGAACTCTCACACTAGGAATAAGAAACAGAAAGGGGTCCAGTGGGCTGTGGGCTGTGTGCCATGGTATTGGCCTTGCCTGGTTCATTGGGTAACATGATGCTTTTCCCTTGCTTTTTGGTAGATGGACAGTGTCTCACCCTCGGGGAGCAGGTGGGCTGGCAGGACAGGCGTCCCCAGGCCGGGAGAAGGAGGCGCTCCCAGGTACTCTTGTCTACCCCTGCTGGTGACCTGCCTGCCCAGCCCCATGCTGTTCCAGATTATGGCCACCTGTGACCCTGCCTGCCCTGACCTGCTTTGACCACCTGTGCCCACCTGTTCCTGCCTGTGCCTGACCTTGGCCCAGATCTCGACCCTCCCTTTTCCTACCTGATTCGGGGCTTATCCTGACTTCTGATTGCTGCCTTTGCTTGACCATTTATTTCGAGGTTCTTAACCCTGAATTACACCTTACTATCCTTACTGTCCTCCTGCTGTGCCCATCATGGGGCCCCCTCAAAGAGGCAATGTCAAGGGCCTCTCAGATGTGCTGCTTCTCATCTGTTTATTTCTGTTAACAAGCTATTTGTAGTGAAATGAAAAAAAAGTTTTATTCCTTAAATAATATCCGAAGTCTTTGGTGACTTTTACTTCTCATCCACACCGAATGTTAATAACTCTACTCACCTCACAACAGTTTTCATCAGGTTAGAAATAGTGTGGAGGTAATGAGAGGTTTCAGAGTTAGAGCTGGTTTGAAGATAATTCTAAAGGGGGCTGGAAGAATTAATTGCCACCCAGGGCCAGCAGATTCCCTCAGCCAGCAAGAAGTGAACGTGTGCTCAGTGTCAGGCCCCGGTCTTGGCTTGGGACAAATCCATCAGTGAGCACCCTGGGGAGTCTGCCTCCAGAGACAGCGCCCAGAGTGGATTCCACACCAGACAGTCACACAGCAGGTCAAAGAACAAGGGGCACCGGGAAGGGGTCAGGAATGAGTGGGTGCATACATGTGTGTACAGGAAGTATGTGCACTTATGAATGTGTGGACGTGTCAGTTGCATGTGTGTGCCAATACATGTATGTATGAGTGTGAGTTTTGCACGAATTTGCACATGTGTATGTATGTGCCTGTGCATATCTGTCACATGTATGTGTAGGTGGGCATGCACATGTGGCTGTGTCTATGCATGTGTGTGCCTAAGTGTGCACATGAGTGTGCAGATATATGTTTGTGTCTGTATGCTTGTGCATGTATACTAGTTCGTGTGCACACATTTGGAGCTGCTCACATGTATTCCGGTTCCTCAGGGTTGGTTCCCATTGGTGACTTGTGTTTTTCCCTGATTACGTGCAACTGCATAGTCTAGGTGTGGAATTGGCAGTGACATTTTCACGAGGTTGTGGCTTTTGGCAGCAAGGACAAGGAGAAAAGTTGAGGAAAGGGAGTCAACAGTGATCTGTCAGAGGGATTTGAAAAGCTGAGGGAGGCAGCGGGACAGTGGAATCAGATGGTCACACTGAGCTTTGTTTCCAGTTGGTGGTAGTCATAGGTTAATCAGTGTCAAAGTAAGATAAAGCGAATAAAATTTTAAAAATATATAACTACCTTTTCAAGTTAGAGAACAGTATTTGGTTTCTATGGTAACTGCCAACTATTTAACTGCACAGCAAGTGTAATGTAGTGGCATGGGGTAATTACAGACAACAGAGAAATTGTAGGGTAGTCTTCAATAAATATAGAGCAACTATGCAGTTAGGTTTTGCCCTTGAAGGTGATGCACAGTTCATCTCCAGGCCAGAGCTGCATGCAGGATCTGGGCCCATGCCCAGTCACCAGCCCCAGGGCGATGCCTGTTCCTAGCCCATAGCCTTTTCTTGTGCCTGTCACATAGGTATGAGTCCTGCTGCCTGCTGTCTGTTCTTGGACTTCAGGTGAGCTGGCCTCTGTGGAGCTTTCCCAGGGCCAGGTTGGGATGCAGGTGCAGGCCTGCCTAGGACTCTAGGGCACACATACCAACCTGGATTCACAAAGGGTGTTCCTAGCCTAAAGTACAGCACACATCAGTCTGGATTGTAACAGTGTGGTTACTAAGAACAGTCATCTGCTCTCACTCTGTGCCAGGATCGCTGGAAAAGACAGAATTAAAGCGTAGCTACAACAGAAATTCATGATAACTGTAGTCAGAGGACCAGATGTTTTGACTAATGATTAAGAGGCAGAAACAGATAATGTTTATGGATTCAAAATAGTACAGAAGATATGCAGGGAGGCCTAATGTGCATAAGAGCAAGAGCCCAAGCTAGGTATGGTGGGTATGCACCTATAATCGCAGTACTCACAAGTTTGAGCCCAACCTGTGCAATTTAGTGACTTAATGAGACCCTGTCTCAAAATAAAAAATAAAAAGGAATAAGGATATAGCTGTTACAAAGGCCTTGAGCCCTGCTTTCAATACCCAATACCAGAGAGAGAAAGAGGGTGAGAGACAGAGAGGGAGAGAGAGAGAGAGGGAGAGAGGGAAAGAGAGAGAGAGAGAGAGAGAGAGAGAGAGAAAG